TTCCACACACTCTTCCTTCAGTTGCTAGCAGATATTGATGGCTACTTGATAATTATCATTGAGCCATGAACACTTTGCCTACGTTCTCTTTTAATCACAATTGCAGAGACTATGCTTTTGAGAAATTGAAGTAAGATAGGTAACGAGCAAGGCAAAAGCAAACGTCCACCGATTATAAAAAGGAAGCTTACAGTTTTAAATCTTCTTAGTTTAGTAAACCATTTATTGAATAAAGAATCTGGGTTAAACCTATTCACACTTGTTTAGGTACTTGAGTTATTTTAGTTATCTTTCTAGTTATATCTTCAATTACTTGTCCTTTATCATCAATCTGTAAGCAACAGTTAGTTAAATTGGAATTTTCACCTTTCCTCCTCCCACAATCCCTTGAGCTCTTTCTTTACAATTTGGGCTGGCAGAATGGCTCCCAAAAAGAAGGGTGGTGAGAAGAAGGGCCAGTTTGCCATCAACCAGGTGGTGACTCAAGAATACACCATCAGACATTCACAGGTGCATCTGTACAAATTTGACATACAACATTTCAGAAAGTGAACATACAGAAGAGAAACATAAGGAAGATGACAGAAGAGGAGATCTCCCACTCATATCTCCATGCATTTTATGACAGTCACACCCAAACAAAGAAGCCCTTATGGGAGTTTTGGGATTTAAGATGTTTTTGAAACTCTGGTGGAGACCAAGATTGAAGAGTATGATTTTGAGAAAGCTGGACCATGACCCATTAGCAGACTTTCCAGTGATAGTCCTGGCAACAGAATAAAAAATTACCATATTTCACTGTAGATATAGCTATATAACTTATATTGTTGCAGGAAAATGGTGAATTAAAACTGACAGACACTTATACTAAAAATACAGAGAAGGTACATTTAATTGCTGGTGATAACTCAGATGTCTCAAGGCATAAAATGCTGAGTTCTGGTGAACAGCTCTCTTGAAACTCTCATATCTTTTCTTCTTCAGTTCAATATCAGCTATATAGTTATGGTTACAGATGTTGGATCAAAGGAAAGTCTTTAATTAGTGGGAAAAAGTCAGAAAGAGTTAATGATTATATTTCTCAAGCAATCAGGGTGTTTTATTAGTTACAGAGTCCGTGTGTGTGTGTGTGTGTGTGTGT